TGTCAGGAGGTATCTGTGTATGCTGAGGGCGAGGGCCTGGGTTGGTGCTGATGGTCATTGGCCTCCACGGCCCCGTAACCTGGGGCCAGACCTCAGGCCACACCTTCCACATACTTGACATACACGATCTCCTTAATCCTCACAAGCTCACCACTGACCTCACCACCAGGCTGGCGCTCCACCCACCACCTCTCACCCCCACCCTCACCTCACCCACTCACCTCACCTCACACCATCTTGACCTCACCCACCACCGTCCTCACCCCATCACCACTCCTCACCCCCACCCTCACCTCACCCACTCACCTCACCTCACACCATCTTGACCTCACCCACCACCGTCCTCACCCCATCACCACTCTCATCTCACCTCATGCCACCCTCACCACCCTCCTCACCTCACCACCACCTTCACCTCCTCCCCATCCTCACCTCCCCTTCCTCTCTCCCATGTAGTTTGCCCGGTTCCTTCTTTGAATCTGTTCAGGACTCACGTCCTTAATAAGCCTACTCTTGGTCACGTATGTCCACCTCTTTGGCTGTTTCACAGGCTTGTGGTCCTGGTGCAGTCCTGGGTGGGTCACCGGTGCCTCAGAGGTGCTTCTGGGGTCACCTAACTACCCAGCCTGGTGGTGCTGTGGCCCTGGGCCCTCTCGGTGTCCATGCTGGACGGTGCTGCAGGCCCGGCTGTCTGGTGCTGTGGGCTCTGAGTGTCTCACGTGGCAGTGGTCTCCCATTCTCACAGCCTCTCACGGCCTGCCTGTCCTCCCACTGCAGGCTGGTGACGCGTCCTCACCTGCCAGTGTGCCCATGCCACTCCCACCCTCCCGCATGAGCTCAAGGCACTGGGCCCCTCCACGGAGCCACACCAGTTTGCTCATTCTGGCCCTCAGGACCGCGGCCGACCTCCGGCAGGCTGTCGGGGCGCCTTGCGTGGCGCTTCGCGTGGACTGAGAAGCCTGGGCAGCCCGGTGCTGTACATGGCCGGCTCTCGCAAGCTCCGACGGCCCCACGTGGAGGACTCAGACATGCCGGCCAAGCTGCCCTCAGCCCCGGAAGTGCTGAAGCCGATGCTGGGGTGCCGGCATCCTGCCCTCGCCCCGCGCCTTCTTGGCTTTGCCTTCAGCTGCCACCAGCTCCCCGGGGCCAGGTGGGTTCCTGCAGGTCTGGGCACACCCGGCGGTCCTGGGGCTTCACAGTAGGGGACAAGCCCTGTGGTGGTGAGGACCCCAACAGCCGCACTTCCACTGCAGCTGGGGCTGTGGGACATTCTCACGTCTGCCCAGAGCTGGGGGGGAACGTGGGTTTTGTTTACAACAAACAACACAGCACATCCGCCAAAGTGGGGCAGGAAGGCGGGGCAGGAACCCGGAGACACGCACGGGGCTGCCTCCCTCGCCCGCAAGAAGGAAGGGCCACGCACGCCCTGCAGTGGCAGTGAACGCGCAGAGGCTGGCCGGAGGTCGGGCCAGAGCTGCGGGACCTGCCTTTCGGAGGACTGGTGAGCGGATGGGGCCTTGGGCTCCAGCTGACAGCAGAGGAACAAGGGCCCAAGAGCACGGGCAAGGGGTCGGGCCCCAGGAGGTGTAACGTGAAGGGGACCAGTGTGCAAGGTGGGACCGAGGGCGAGGGGCAGCCAGGGAGGACGGGGCCGCTTGCCCAGGTGGAAGGTGAGGATGGGCCGGCGTTGCGGGAGGCAATGGCCCAGCCTTCCCCAGGCCCAGGGGTGTGAGGCGGCTAGAACCTGTGTGAGGCCAGTTCAGGAGAAAGGTGGTCACTGGGGAGCTGTCAGCAGGTGGCACCTAGAGCCACCAGGAAGGGAAAACCAGGGCAAAGCACTTTGGATGCGACGCTGGGCAGGGGCAGTGCACCACCGTGGTTGACAGCAGGGTCGCAGATATGCACAGACGCCATGCTCCCAACGCACCTGATGGCGAGGCAGGCTGGGCGGCTCCCACCTGCGCATCAGAGGATCTGTCTTCTTTGTTGAGGTTTTTTTTTTTTTTTTTGGCTATAGGGCGCGTGCGCTCACCAGATAGAGAGAGACATAGAGACAGAAGGCGAGAAATCACCCCCCAGGGGGGATGGTCACACCGCAATCCCTTCTCCTCCATTCTCCTCTCAGGATCTGGGGCACGCACGAACACGCGCCCGGTGTGAGTTTTAAGCCACCGGGTCCGGGACTCGAACCGCGGTCACCTACATGGGAGTCCAGCGACATACCCATTATGCTAACTGCTGGTTCCCATGTCTTCTCTGTAGGACTGTGCTTTTCTGTCACGACTACAGCTCCTGTCTGAATGGACCTGCACCTGCTGACCCTCCAGCCTTCCCATTGGCAGCCTGTGCTCCGAGGACCTGCCCAGGATGCTGGCCTTCCCACTGGCAGCCCCTACCGAAGAGCCATGCCCTGCCTGTGCAGCTGTGCCCATCTCAGGATGCAGCGCTTTGGAATTTTTCTTTCAAGAAGAAAATGCTGGGACCAGCAGTTAGCGTAATGGCTGTCTCTGGACTCACGCGTAGTCGACCGCGGTTCACGTCCCAGACCCGGTGGCTTAAAACTCACACTGGGCGCGTGTGCGTGTGTGCCCAAGATTCTGAGAGGAGAATGGAGGAGAAGGGATTACGGCGTGGCCATCCCCCCTGGGGGGTAATTTCTTGCTTCCTGTCACTGTCTCTGTCTGTCTGGCAAGCGCACGTGCCCTATAGCAAAAACCTCTGAAAAAAAAAAAAAAAAGAAGAAGAAAACGCTCAGCTATTGTCGATATTTTAAACCTCAAGAATGTGCAATAGCTCCATCCCTATCGGGTCCTAAAACAGTGATTTCACTCTAGAAAGAACAGCAGAACCAGCAGGAAATGCATGGCCGCACTTGAGGAGCGCGTGAGCCGCAGCTGACTCCAGGCCTCGCCTCACACGTGCATCCAGCATCAGTTCTGGATAGTTGCTCGCAAGACCTGGGTGCCTTCCCGTGGGTCGAAGATCCTGCGAGTCCAGGACAAAGCAACCTCACACTCGTCCGCGTTCT